TGCACATACACACACATGCACACACACACACACACACACACACACACACACACATATATATATATATATATATACATACATGCACACACACACACATATTTAAACATTTTTATTTGAAAATATAATTTGAATCGGCAGAATTTAGAGCCATTACCCAAAGCCAAAACTCATTAATTCTCAATAACATCACTTAATAAAAGTAGGTGTTAATTTGAATCTTGCTATGTATGTGAGTGTTTGTGTATGTGTTTCTGTGTGTGAAAGTCTGTGTGCGAAAAAGTGTGTGTGCGTGTGACTGCGTATATGTGTGTAGAACTGATTAATTAGATTTTCGGAAGCATCAACGCTTTCGAAGTACCAAATGAAAAATTTCGGCAAAAACTTACTAGTAAGCATATTCCTAATAATACAAAAAGCGTACCATACACATATAAAAACCATACACATACATGCAAATAAAAAGACACACATACACACACATACACAAACAAATATAAAAACTCGTATCATTCATTTGACCTTGACATTAATGTCAATTGAATCACCTGATATAAATTTCCTTCCAATAACATCCTTTAGCTTTCCATGGTAAATAAATTAAAAAATAAGTAAATATAAAATACAGACGGAGACAAACAGAGAGACAGACAGACAGACAGAGAGACAGAACCACCTACGTATGTATGATTGATTTTATGTGTGTGTGTGCGTGTGTTTGTGTGTGTACGTGTGTGTCTTTGTGTGTTTATGTATGCATGCAATGCATTTTTGTCGTGTTACTAATAGAATTATAAAAGGCTACTTTAAATTGCAAATTACTGCCGACCATTTGAGAATTATTTTCAATTATTATATAAATAAAAATGTATAAATGGATATATATATATATATATATGTATATATGTATATATATATATATATATATATGCGTGTGTGTGTGTGTGTGTATCTATGTGCCAGATAACGTGTAAATTTAATTTATGACAGTTTTTAATGGTATTGAATGAAAATTGAATTAATCACGCTTTCCATCGGTTTACTTTTTATAAATAATATATTGAATTACCTGGCGCCCATCTATTTTATCTATGCGTTTATATATCTATGTATCTATGTTTTTGTATATCTATGTCTTTGTATATTTTTGTATATCTATGTATCTTTGTGTATCTATGTATCTATCCGTGGGTTCATCTATTCGTCAATGAATATTTGAATAAATAGATTATATATAGTTGAATATGATCGGATGTTGATCTGTATGTACACACACACACACGTACACATACACACACGTACACACACGCACGCACGCACACACGCACACACAAATGCCTGCATCAGCGAGAGACATTTAAAGATGGTGATTAATAACTGAGGGACGATTCTGAATGACAGATTTAAATTCATGACGTCGTTATCATCTTTATCATTATCATCGTCATCATCATCGCTGTCATCATCATCATCATCAATAATATTTCATTGGTAGTGGTAGTAGTAGTAGTGGTAGTAGCAGCTGTAGTGGTAGCAGTAACAGTTGCAGTGTGGTAGTAGTAGTAGTAGTATCAGTTATAGTGATAATAGTAGTAGCAGTAGTTGTTGTAGTAGTAGTAGTGGTGGTGGTAGTAGTTGTAGTAGAAGTAATAGTAGTAGTAGTAGTTGTAGTAGTGGTAGTGGTAGCAGTAGTGGCCTCAAACAACACACCTTAACGCTTATCTGTTCAATCATCATCATTAATGTCATCTCCGATCTATAATAACTAAGGTGTCCGTTTTATCACCATCATCATCACCATTACCATCATGGTCGTCGTCGTCGTTATCATCATCACACCACCATAAAACCAGATGACTTCATCATTGCAACATCATCGTCATCGTCATAGTCATAAAAAACTCTTCATCATTGTCGCATCATTTCAACCGCATAATCAGAACAACAACACCATCAACAAAAGATCCTTACATCGTCATCATCCTCGCCATCAAGTCATCATCATCATCATCAAAATCGTGTTGTCATCATCATCATCATTATCATATGCAAGGTATCATCATCATCATCATCATAAGCAAGGTGCCACCACCATCATCATTATCATCATCGTTGTCACATCATTATCAAGCCATCAAATCATAATCACACATCATCACATCATCACATCATTAACACTTTTGCTCCAATTGGGTATTATCATTTTATTTCTGTATCAATCTATATTCATATGCATATATACATATATATATATATATATATATATATATATATATATATATATATATGTGTGTGTGTGTGTGTGTATATATGTATATATATATATCTCGTTAGAAATCATCATTAATGTTCAACCAGCAGGACCACGTGTCACCACCGCCATCTTAATTTATTCATCCATTTATTCACTCATTCATTCATCCATTTGTTTATTTCTTTAATATATATTTTTCCTGTTATTTGTTTGTCTATTGGTTCACTTATAAATTCATTCATTCATTCATTCATTCGTGCGGTTTTTCATTATTTCGTTCGTTCATTCATTCTTTCATTCACCAATTCATTCATTCATTCATTCATTCATTTACTTTATTTCTATCCGTTGAATTTTCTTCATTGTTTATCATTTTAAAGAAACCCATATAGTTCGTATAGGATGCTAACACACACTCGCATATCAACATTTAAATATCTTTGAAAGTGATAAATAACAGTATTGCCATTCTATACCGTAGCAACATTACTCAAATACTTCTACATTCATTGTGTGGAAATAATACTAATAGTAGTATTCTTACTAATACAAGCGGGTAATTAGAAGCACTTACAAAAAATACTAGTAAAATAGGATAAAGAATTTGTAAAATGGGCAAAAATTAGCCGCAGACTGTTTCTAAAAGCCTGAATCTCCAGTGCCCACATCTCTGTTAGGAATGGAATGTTGGATTGCAACTGGGAAGTTTATTCAAATTTGTTGAATTTCACTTCTTAGTAACATTTGGTATCGTTGGAATATTAATTTAGTATAATAAATAACAAGGATCATTAATAGCTTTTTCCTTTCTCTAGCTATCCTTCTTTTTCTCCGTGTCTTTATCTCTCTCTATGTTACTATTCTTTTCATCACTCTCTTTCTATATCTCTCTCTCCTTTTCTCTGTCTGTCTATGTCTGTCTGTCTCTCTCTCTTTCTTTCTTTTTCCAGGCACACACACACACACACACGCACACACACATTGTCAAAACAATAGTAAAGCTGTCGTAACGATGATAATAATGATAATATGAGTAGAAATATGCATTTTCATCGCTTGGTGCACGATGAGTTATTACGAAATGATGTCAGTCGATAAATTAGTTCTATTAAAAGCAATTTTTTCACAAGTGTACTAACTACTACTTTATACTTCAAATGTTTATACTACAATTATTTATACTACTGGTGGCCATACTAATGCTTGCTGGCTTGCTTTAGTTTATATAATATAATATTTATACTAGTTTCAAGAACTTGAAAGTGAAAGGAAAACAGAAAGCGATAGAGAGAGAGAGAGGGGGGGGAGGGAGAAAGAGAGAGAGAGAGAGGGAGGGGGGGGGAGGGAGAAAGAGAGAGAGAGGGAGGGAGGGAGAGGAAGTGAGAAAAAAATGGAAATTATTTACCAAAGAAGTTACAACTACCTTCGATGTAGTTACTTAATTGTAGTAATATTAGCATAATCTTTCTCTAGTATTTGCTCATTTGGTTTTTTAATACTAATTTTCCAGCCGCAAACAACATATACAGAAAAAAGTGTACTGATACTACAACTGCAAAAATTACTATTGTGTGAGTTGTTGTAGTGATTACATTACTCAAGTTACACACCTGTCCTTATAAACGAAAGTCGTTGTTGTTGTTTTTGTTGTAGCAACCCTTACGGGCATTGTTGCTTAAAAATTTGATAGTGTTGTTGTTATTGTTGCTGCTGCTTGCTTGCTAGTAGGATGAATAAAGAACCACACACACACACACACACACACACGCACACACACACACACACTTCGTTAGAATATTTTTAGATTCAGGTGATTTATAAATTCTCGATGTAACATTAGTATTGAAATTGTTGGTGACTAGTAAATACCATCAAGGTGTATCGAGTTTATGCTGGGTATTTTTGCGTTGATTCATCTATTTAAGTGGCAAAACTACCTCTATATCAAATCAAATAGAAACCATTAGAAACCTTTTTTCTGGAGCTCTCTACTTACTTCTCTGACTACTTCTCCATCACTTGCGAAGTTCAGAGCGGATCTCAAGACCCATCTGTTTTTAAAATTCATTGAGGAACGCTGTTTGAACATCGCGGAAATAGCGCTTTATAAGCTAATTGATTGATTGATTGATTGATTGATTGATTGATTGATTGATTGATTGATTGATTGAAAAAATGAAATAAATTGGAGACTGGTCGCAAATTTATACAAACTTAAATATTACAAATTTATATTGCATATATGGCGGTGTATTTTATTAGTATCAATATTTTAACGATTTGGCATAGTCGAGTTTTTATACAACGATGTTTAATTACAAAAACTTATATATTTGTATATGTAGTATGAGTATTGTATACCTCTTTGTATGTTATGCATGTTTATTTGTATGTGTGTTCTTTTATCTGTGTGTTTGTGTATGTGTTAAGAACTATGTTCGTGGCTATGTCTGTGTAAACGCATGTGTGAGAATTTGTCTGCGTGTACGCCTGTGTCCGTGCAAATGTGTGTACGTGTGCTTCGATTTTTTCATCGCCATCTATAATATGTCAGATGGAAAGTTGCGTAACATGCGAGCCATGGGCCGAGTGAGCGTGTTTCTATTAATTTTCGTCGAACTCTTGTTTTTGTTATTATTTCATCTATTTTTCTTTGTTTATTTATTTTGTTATAATAATAATAATAATGATAAAAGTTATTAGTGAGATGTGATGAGTAACATTTGTGTGTTGTGTGTTGTTGTTGTTTTGTTTTTAAAATAATACTTTTTTATTCACGTACATCGATACATGTAAAATTATTTAAAACAGCAAATATTGAAATCAGCTCTGGAAATAATTTACAAATTATATTATCATCCGACGAACAGAACTGTTTCGTGTTCACCGATCAGAAACAAGAGAATCCATTTTTAAGCGATAATATAAAATTGTTAACACAAAAAATGAACCGTTCTATACGAATAGACGCTTCAAGTTCGTAAACAGTTGCAACATCAAAATTGTCATCTAAACTTTAAAAAAATTCCATAGCTCCAAGGTTTTTCCGCCAACAACAAGCCAAAGTAAAGTTTTAATGTCTAACAACAGGTAACATGAACAAAATGACATGAAACATCAACAAACAACAATAGCCTGAAATCAAAAACTCAATACAGCAAAACTTGTTGGCAGGTCCCGAATCATTGTTAAGAAGTGTGAAAATTTAAATGTGAATCAAATATTAACATCTTGCAAGCATGTATGTATGTATGTACATCCATCTGCAACACACTTTTTAAGGCAATGTCAATTCTATACATAAGTGCTTGCTTATGTTTGGTTGCATGTGTGTCTTTAAGTACGTGTGTGTGTGTTTGTACGTGTGTGTGTGTGTGTGTGTGTGCGTATGTGTGTGTGCGTTTGCTAATTTGGAATGTTGTTTTATTCTTGGAGGTGAGAGTTGAACATATTTTGACACTCAAACATTCAGTCCAATTTACGTAATAATGATAATGGCTAGGCAATATTTGCTATTGTTATTATAGTTCAATTATTATTACTTTTATTATTATTAATATTATTACTATTGTTATTATTATTATTATTATTATTATTGACATTACGATTATATTATTAGTGACAATTTTGGTATTGATATTCAAATTATGCAAGTCGAAATAGAGAATCTAAGAACCAGCATTAAGTTATATTGCTGGTTTTCAATCAATCAATCAATCAATCAATCAATCAATCAATCAATCAATCAATCAATCAATCAATCAATCAATATATCAACCAGTCAGTCAGTCAATCAATCAGTCAGTCAATCTATATATTATTATATTATATATTACTATTATTTTTATGTCATATAAAAAAGTAAATTATAAGTAAATTACACGTGCGGACGTCAGAATAAGACGCCATTTTTATTGATATGATTATTATTATTAATATTATTATTGTTATTATTATTGTTGTTGTTTTGTTGTAACTTGGTCTGCTATTTTTATCGTGTATTTTATTCACATAGTATCGTTGACACAACAACAACAACAAACAACAACAACAACAAACAATAACAACAACAATAATAATTATTATTATTATAATTATTATTATTATAATTATTATTTTCATAAAAATTATTGAGAACTCTGTTGCCGTTGAAAATAATTTTAAAATCATTTTTTATTTGAACCAAATAAAAATTATCGCGACTATAAGAAAGGTAAACAACAATAATAATAATAGCCGATAATAATATCCAAAATAATAATAATAATAATTATTATTATTAAACATATCATTACTATTTAATATTTTATTTTATTTATTTATGAGCAGTCAAACAATGACTATACGTCAAGACAGATATGATAAATTGTGGACCAAACAATAAAAATTCTTTCAAAATGTTTCGGCCTTACTTTATATCAAAATAATAAAAAAAATATGATTTTAATAAGTATATATATTAATTCGTAATAAACAAAATATATCTTGTTTACCTTTTAGAGGATCGCTATCAGGAATCGCCTGTTTATCATCATCGTCATCTTCATCATCAGCTACATTACAATTCATATCATCATCATCATCGTCGTCGTGGTCCTCATCGTGTTCATCCATTTTTTCATCATGGTGTGGATGGTGATGCGGGTGATGTTGTTGTTGCTGTTGTTGTAGTAACTGCTGTTGCATTTGAGAACTATGTTGTAGGTATTGAGGTAACGAGCCTGGTATAATAATGTCAAAAGTATTGCAAACAACTGGAGTATTTGAGGTAGTACTGTTAGTAATTGCTTGTTCATTTAAAATCTGATTAGTCTTTAGCATACTAGTAGTAGTAGTAGTAGCAGCAGTTGTAGTTGCAGCATCTGTGGTTGCTACAGCAGCAACAGTAGCATTGTGAACAAGTGGTGATTTTATTGGCAGCAGCAGTGGTAACGTTGGTGGGTAGAGGGGAAATGTTGTGGCAAGGTTGCTTGCGTTTGAGAGATGTTGGAATAAATTTGGATGCTGCGCTGTTGGGGCAGTCGGTGTCATTGGTGAATTCATTGTTGTTGTTGATGATTCTACCGTTGTAGGTGTTGTTCTGTTTTTCTTTAGTTTTGTTTTTGAAGTCGTTGCTGGCTTAGAAACAGTTTTCTTAATTGTTTCGGGGTTCGGCGCTAACATAGGTGTAGCATGTGATGCATTTGCAATGACTTTTGTATCGCTAGTTTGGTTTGCGGCCGATGTAGTTGCCGCTAAAGCAGCTGTAACTGAGGAATCGACCACAGGCGCCGTTGACTGACCAACGTCGTCATCATTATTGTTTACGTGACGCGGCTTCTCTTGCTTCCTCCTTCTCTGCTGCTGACTATCCATGCTGTTGATGTAACTTTTTTACTGCTATTTGTGGCTCGGTCTATGCGTGGTTGGCAGTTTTCTCAATGTGAAATGATTTATAAATGATTGAAGATTGAAAATTGAACGACTTGTCAACGCTTCAACTGCGCAGGTCACTTAGACGTCGAATCCCTGCCTCCCTCCGTGTGCATGTGAAAGTTGTGGCTGGAACGATTTGCTGTGTACATGAAAAATATGGATTAGAGGATATTATTTGTCAGTTAATTTATAATATTTACATTTTTTATGATAAATTATTAATCAATAACTCAACCATCCAAACAACCACCCAGTCATCAAATCAATCAATCAATCAATCAATCACTCAATCAATCAATCAATCGACCAGTTAACCATCCAACCAACCATCCAATCAATCCATCAGTCACCCAACCAACCAGTCGATCAAAACTTGTCTCTGATAATCCGAATAAAAAAACGACAACACGAAAATAAACTCTTCAAAACAAAATTATTTCCTAATTTTTTAATGAAACAACAAAATTTATCGATTACCATCCTTAAACCTCAAAATCATCTTTCTGGGCGGAATCATTAATAACGCTGTGTGTATATACATGTTCGTCTTTATGTCTCTTTCTCTCTCTCTCTCTCTATATATATATATATATATAAATAATAATTTTTATATATATATAGATATATAAATATTTATATATATGTTGGTTTATGAAAATAGTTTTTCGATAAAATCAAATTCGAAGTTAAATCTATACAAATATACCCACATACACATATATATATATGAACCAGCAAACAACACACACACATATATATATATATATAAATACATACATATATATATATATGTATATAAAATATCATTTATTAGTAAGCTTATATGTATTAGTAAACTGCTATATTATAAGACATACACACATACATACGCACATATATATATATACATATATATACATATATATATATGCTGTATAAATATATATAAAAACCGTAATAGCATAGGAAGAGTGAATTTGATTGACAGCTCGACCTCGTAATAATCAAAAAATGCTTCATGAAATTATGAATTGTGATTGGCTGGCGACCAGCATGACCCCGCCCAAAAATATATTCATGAACGTTTTCCGACGTGTTATGACGGTTTATTTACGTTATGAATTGACTCTATGTGGTCTGGATATATATATATATATGATTGCATATATGCATTTATGTATATGAATATTCAAATATATACATACGTATATATACACATACATATACCTGTATATGCGTGTTATATATACACGTATCCTATGTATATAATATTATTATATATATATTCTACATATATTATATACATATCTATGAATATGTGAATATATATATTTATATCTAGAGAAAGAGAGAGAGAGAGAGATAGAGAGAAAGAGAGAGAAAGAGAGAGAGAATATATGAATGGTGAATAAAGAGACAAAGTTTATAAATGCATACGAAACGATAATTAAATTTTGGCAATTAGACAATTAGAACCTTGTGCATGCTGTAATAAGGACGACAAAACAACAACAATAACAATAGCAATAACAACAATAATAACAACAAAATCAACAACAATATTAATAATAATATCAGGAATGACTCTAATTTGTTTGTTAGAATTGTTTTTATTTTGTTGTTCAGTTCTTTAGTTTTAAATTTGCAACTCTATCCTATCGCAATAAGTTTTATATAACACTATACATATTCAACATCTACTATCTTATTATAACACAATAAACACACGCGCGCGCACACACGCACGCACACGCAAGCTCACATACACGCACCCACACACAAACCTATACATATTTTTTTAATTCATTAATTCGTAAAACCATACGGTAGATGATAATATAAGGTATCAACAACAAATGATACAACAGATTACAAATGATACAACAAATGATACAAATGATACAAATGATACAAAAGATAACAAATGATGCAACAGATAACAAATGATAGAAAAGATAACAAATGATAACAAATGATACAAAAGATAACAAATGATACAACACATGAACAAATGATACAACAAATAAACAAATGATACAACAGATAACAAATGATATAACTCATAACAAATGATACAAGAAATTGTGCCTCCGACAACGCCATCTTCTGCAGATAAATAATTTTCTATTTCCGTTATTTCCATTTTTTTTCCATCCTCCAGTTCACGACAACTGTTCCCAGCATTTCTGAACATTTCTCTTTTACGGAATCTAATTGTTCTAAGTTAGCGTTTGCTTTAAAATATTTATACACTCTCTCACTCACTCACTCACTCACACACTCACACACACACCAACAAACACACTAACACAAGAATGTGCGTGCGTGTGTGCGTGTGTGTGTATATTCATTCATAAGTCTATTTATTTAGTGATATAACTAATAAGCCGAAATACAAAAAGTAACGAACGAATAGTAGCTTATATCAAACAATTAGACCGACGTCACTTATTTATGACGAACTTTTTTAATAAATAATTAAAGTTCGCATTCTCTCTCTCTCTCTCTCTCTTTCTTTCTTTCTTTCTTTCTCTCTTTCTTTCTCTCTCTACCTCTCGCTCTTTCTTTTTTTTTCTCTCTCTCCTCTTTTTATATATGGATATATATTAGTTTTTCTTTTACCTATATGTATTGTTTACAATGTCAGATGTTATATATATATATAACGACATGTTATTAATTTATTGGTATGTGGTTATTATTAGTCTATCTATGTGTTTGCTGCTAAGTTTGGTTGTGCATGTGTGAGTCTGTGTGTACGTGTGTGTGTACGTGTGTGTGTGTGTATGGTGTGTGTATGTGTGTGTTTGTAGTGTGTGTGTGTATGTGTGTGTGTGTCTGATCTGTGTGTGTTTGTATGTCTCATTTGTAACAATTGTATTTATTTATGTTTCTTATGGAGGCTTTATGCGATAGGCGATTTATATGTACGTGCAGTGAAGTAACAGCATTTTTCTTGGATTAAGCATGTGTTTTGTATGCGTGTGTGTGTGTGTGTGTGTTTTAGTATGTGTGTAAAACAAACAAACATCGTTCATTCCATTCACGCATATGTCACGCATACAAGTTGAGTATTTGGTAATGCATGCGTTTGTGGATGAGAGAGTGTCTGATGCCTTGTGTTTAATGGAATATTGAATGATACATAACATCTCCGGAATATCATCAATGACGCAGAAATGACGTCACAAATGAAGTCACGTGTCCGACATGGTATTGGTCAGATGGGTTAATGAGGTCATACAAAGGTCAAATATATCATGGATGTTTTTGGCGGCAAAATGTAATGAAAACGTCATTTAGCATATAGCGTGTGTTTGTGCTTGCGTGTGCATGTGTGTGTGTGTGTGTGTGCGTGTGTGTAAAGACGTATTTGTTGATATTTTTTGTATTCGCTTGTATGCGTGTGCGTGTGCGTGTGCTTATAAAAGTGTTTGTGTGCGTGCTTGTTCATATGTATATGTTAGTTTGTTTATATCTTCGTCTCTGTGCCTGTGTGAGCGCATGTCCGGATGTTTTGAACGGCGGTCTAAAGTCGTTCCATACTTTTGAAGCTTGATTTGACAGAGGTTCTTAAATTTAAGTTCACTTTAATAATTTTTATTTTTTCTGTTTTTAAAATGTTTCAAGGCTGGGATAAATTATTTTGTTTATTATTAAGTACTTTTAATTCATTCATCTATGCGTGTGACGTAACAGAATGATCATGTTGTTTGTTTATGCATCACAGATCATGTGTTGCAATGTTTTTAATCTCACTTCTTTCATTGCCAAAATATTTCGTTGCTAGTTTTAATTATTAACACTTTAATTTTTTGTCGTCATGTCTATGCTACTGATGTTCTTTTATTTATTCTACGCTATTTTGTCTTAATTTTAAAGTATTTCACATTTCACCGAGAAGAAAATTTTTAAATTACAGCTTTTATCGAAGTTTTTTAGCCAATGCATCAACTTTTTTCTAAAATCGAGAACGTACATTTACTTTCTATCTCTGAAACGTTACAGGCAGGCACATACACACATACACACACACACAAACATAAACATGCCTACACGCGCATAAACACAAACATTCGAAGACATACAATAAAATATATGTACATAAATGCAATATACTCATGAAAAAAATTACACAAAATTCCTCATAAACTTAGAGGAACACACTCAGAAACAGCGAAAAACATACACACACAGACGAACACATAAAGAGAGAGAGAAAGAGAGAGAGAGAGAGAGAGAGAGAGAGAGAGACTCACGTACAAACTGGTATGGATATTAAGTATGCACATGTGAGCACCCGTTACATCCATCATCATATTTGCCCAGCCATCATCCCATCTTTAATCGAACTCCTCACTGAAACTTTCTTCTCCTATGTGTCTGTTTATCTGTCTGTGTGTCTGTCTGTGTGTGTGTGAGTATGTGTATGTGTACGTATGCGTTAGCGTATGTTTGTATCTGTTTATGCACGTGTGATGTGTATCTTATCTGATTTCATTAGGTGTGTGTGTGTGTGTGTGTGAGTGTGTGTGTGTGTGTGTAAATGTACACGTGTGTATGGGTATATTTTATGGTATGTATGTATCTATGTGCATATGATCACACACCACTCACGACATACACGCACACACGCACACACACACGCACACACGCACACACACACGCATTAATAACGCGAACAACAATTTGTAAGACGTATGTGAATTTTTCTACGTCTATATAATTACACATACACACAGGCACAGACACGATGATGAAAAATATATACTTAAATGCTTATTCATTCAGACAGGAATTTTTTCCAACAACCTCAAAAACGAAATAAAATTTCGTCTGTTCATCTGTCTATGTGTCTGTCTGCGTGTGTGTGAGTATGTGTATGTGAACGTATGTGTTAACGTATATTTGCCAAAATTATCGTAATCAGATTAAACATAACTACATTTTCTGGCTCTTCATCAAATCAATAAGGTATAAATGCTCAGAATTGGAACACAAAAAACACCCAAACAAAAAATCTTCACACCTACACATTTGCATCTATTCCCCATAAGCACATGCAACATGTTATACAAATAAACAAAAATGGACACAAACACATGTATACGTACACACACACACACACACACACACACACACACAAACATACAAACAAGAACATATACAACATGCCTATATAGGCAAACTCGCGCGTAAACACTTCCGATAAATGTTCGCTGTAGAGTGCGCGTGTGTGCGCGTGTGTGCGTGTACGTGCACGTACAATCTTAATATTCATACACTCCTTTAATTCCATGTTTGTCGGCGTAGATGCTGTTTGTTTACGATCGCTCGCTATCATCATCATCTCTGCCGCCGTCATCATCATCAAAATTGTTCTCATCGTCGACGTTTTTGTAATCATCTTCACTGTCCTCCTACTCATCATCATCATCATCGTCGTCGTCATCGTCGTCACCACCATTATCATCATCAGCAACAACAACATTTTCTTTATCATCGTCATCATCTTCGTCATCATCATCTTCGTCTTCGTCATCATCATCTTCGATTCTGTACACGCGCATACATCAATTTTCCTTTCTTGTGCCCAACTAATTTTCCTCTTTATGACAGACAAATGACATAATTCATCTTGTACTCCACTGCTGTGTCAGAGGAAGTCATCATGGTCATGATCATGATTGTGATCATGATCATGGTGATGATCATGATGGTGGTAGCGGTGGTGACGATGGTGGTGGTGGTGTTGACAATGGTGGTGATGGTGAGGGTGGTAAAATGATGGTGGGGATGGTGGTCTTTGAATCTATCGAGAAAAACAAGTGTAATGTAACGGCAAACAGTAAACACACATAGCACACATACATAATTATACACGCACACTCCCTTTCTCTCTCTCTCTCTCTCTCTCTCTCTCTCTCTCTCTCTCTCTCTCTCTCTCTCTCTCATTCACTCTCTTTTTCCCTCTCTCTCTCTCTTACACACACACACACACACACATACAATCCCCACGAATGGGATCAATTAAATCGTGGAAAAACACACTCGAAATTAACAGGATATTAATTATTGGACTTTTTGATTGAACACGGATTCCTCACATTCATTATTATTATTGTCTTTCTACGTGAGTGTGACTTCATTTGCATTTAGATACGCACGCGCACACACAAACACACATACACACGCACACAAACACACATACACACGCACACATACACACAAATACACACACAAACATAGTTTTTTTTATGTATATTTAACTATATACACACACATATATATAGTTTTAGCATGCATTTATATTATAAATAATATACATTTATTCATTAATATGTTATTCAGTTAATTCCTCTCTGACAAATCAGAAATTGAAATGCCAAAATGTTAATAGTTTTATTCTTAACAAATATTCTGGATGCTAAATAGATTGCTGTTTTGGTTGTGCATATGTTGAAGTAACAATGCGTTCCTAATTTTATGAAGAATACTTTGAAATTTCGTCTGGAATTTTTCGTTTATTAAGACAAAATAATCCACTGTGTTTCATAATTCATTTTCCATGCTTTATAATTCATATCCCATATTCCACAATTCATATTCTACGTTCATAATTTATGTTCTATGTTTCATAATTCATATCTCATGCTCCATAATTCATATCCCATGTTTCATAGTTCATATCCCTTGTTATATAATTCATATTCCATGTTTCATAATTCATATCCCATGTTTCATAATTCATAACCCATGTTATATAATTTATATACCATGTTTCATAATTCATAACCCATGTTATATAATTCATATTCCAATTATTTTCCATAATTCATATCCCATGTTATATAATTCATATTCCATGTTCCATAATATAAATTATTTTCCTTAATTCATATCCCATGTTTTCATAATTCATATCCCATGTTTTATATATATATATATATATATAAATATATATATATATATATGTTTAGCATCATCATCACCATCACCAAAATCGTTGTCATCATCACCAACAGCTACATTATCATCTCTAGCAACAATACGAACAACAACAACAGCAACAACAACAACAACAGCAACAACTACTACTACTACTACAACAATAACAACGACAACAACAACTGCAGCACAATCATCTTAAATAACTCTACAAAGGGAAGAGATTAATAATTTGATGGAGTGCCTCAGAAGTGCCATAGATTGCCTTCTGACGTCACAACAGGAAGTTCTTTAGTTTAGTAAGTAAGACCAACAAATAAATGCCCCAATATGGCCTGATCAAGAAAGCATCTTTAAACGAAAAACATACTAAATTATTTTACGAATTAAAAGAAAAAACTGTGTGTGTGTGCGTGTTGTGGATGTGCAACAAGATGTAATGGTAAACAGTTTTTTTTGTAATGAAAATCATAATATGTAAAGCTACCAGAATTAAAAAAATATAAAAATCAAAATGGAAACAAAATGGTGGAAGTTGAAAGTTGAAAGTTGAAAGGTTATACAAAAATAGCTGGTAGAAGCAATCAAAGTTCTGATAAAGATAAAGAAAAAAAACGAATTTATAAAAAAAGTTGGATGAAAGAAAAGAAGAATAAAAAGATGAGAGAGAAAAGGAGAAAGAGAGAGAGAGAGAGGGAGAGAAAAAAGAGAGAGAGAGTTGGGTGAGAGAGCAAGAGAGAAGACAAAACGTGAAAAAACAAAAGAAAACAATACAAAAATATAAAAATATATAAAGGATAAAGAGGAAATAAGAGAAAAAGAGAAAGAGAGAGAAAGACAGATACAGAGAAGTAAGAGAGAGAGAGAGAGAGAGAAAGAGAAAGAGAGATAGAGATAGAGAGAGTAGAATAGGAAACCATGAATCTTAGTATGGCTCCATAATAATTGGCAATGATTTATGGCGAACTCAACAATTGCTCCAACTCTGTCAACCACCAATCATATTCGCATATGACCATTGGAGAGAGGAGGAGGGTGATGATGATGATGATGATGAGGATAATAATAATAATAATAATAATAATAATAATAATAATAATAATAATAATAATAATAATAATAATGGTAATGATAAAGATGATGATGGTGGTGATGATGACGATGACGACGATGATGATGACAATGATGAGGCCTTTATCTTAACCAAATCTGCCTATAATGTTATGGGTAAATGTTAATACGTACATTAAATTCCACCACAAAGGTGAACATACAAACAGCCCAGATTAATTATAACACAAAATAGAAACGGATCCGATGCAATATTGTCCGATTAATTCTCACAATATTCACGATTCGTTCATGATCTTTGGTAAGCTGAAATGAGAGCAAACACACACACATACAAACACACGTACATACACACGTACACACAGATAAACATACACACATATGCAAACGTACATATATACACATGCAAAACAGTCAAGCAAACAAAAAACACATCATGATTCTCGGCAGTATTCGAATCACGTTCAATGAACTGACGATAAATCAAAGGCAATATGTGGCGTGTGTGCGTGTTTGTGTGTGCATGTGTGCGTGCGCGTGTGTACGTGTGTGTGCATGTGTGTGTGCGTGTGTGTGCGGTTTTTTTATTTTCTAAAATATAAATACTAGCATATCGTCAAACTCAGATACATTACAAGTTTTTAGTAAGGGTCATATCTATGAGTAATTTCGAAATTGTCAATTCTTGTTCGCTGGGTACAAAATAACTTTTTTTAAATTTATAAACGTTTATTTAAGCTTTTAAATAAAACTTCTCTTTCTGAAAAGGTCGGACGCAACAAGGCAGCATCACAGCGTACCACACTCGTTGTTCAGAAATTTCAAAGTTCCAAAATTGTCGATATGACACTTTTCAATAACTCTCGTTTAATCAACAGAATACTAAATTATTACGTCCAATAATTCTCACAAAACTCTTGATGTGTTCTTCTTTCATGTCCGGTGGCGGTTGGTGCATGATCCTAGCCTTCCTGGATCCGCCACTGGTCCTGCACTTTGCATTCGAATGTAGTGGGAATCCCATCGAAATGCGACAGCGAAAGACAGAAAAATGATTTCAGTATGAAGTATTTTACGTAACAGAATGAACTTCGTTGAAAATGTTCTCCCACTCAATTACGTTCCTATTCTTACTTTACCTCAGGGCCTCGATCAACCTGCTTCCGACAGTAAATCATTTCCCAGTTCCTCTTTCAACCTTCTTCGTGATGAACGATGAACACTGTTTAATCTCAAGTAATAAATACTTTTTATGAAATAAAACAAACATTTGTATGCAGTTTATGAAAAATAGAACACAATAGTCGAACCTGAAACTAATTTAAATTTTCGTTCGAGAGAGGCCAGCACTGGAACAAAACTCGCATCTCAACTTAGCAAATCCAGCCGCAAACTTTGAAATTCATCGGAAAGCACTTTTTATTTACAATTGAATAGAATGATGCAACTTGCAAGTTGATTACACACAAATCATATTTTCATGTTTTATTAAATCAAGCAAAAAGAATGAGCAGGGGACGGAAAACAAAATAAATGAGTAGATCCAAACAAACACTGTCTTCATACAATGTAATAAATCATTATTACCGAAACATTCTCATACAAAGTTTCTTAAAATTTCAAAAATAGCTGGAAAAAAATTAGCATGAAGTAAAACAAATGTCACTTTTGTCTGATGAGCATGCAACTACTTTTCACAAGATAAACATCATATTGAAAGGAATCTCCGAACAAGCCGTTGAGGTTTATAGCATGACAATCGTTGAACCACCAGCCTGAACTGAACGTGGAGGCACAGTTCGAACTCGACCTGCAGCATTTGTTTATGCCTAGTTCAATCACACTGAATTAATTATTACTACATCGTTATTTTTGTTACGATTCTCAAATGCTTCTAGAAGGTGTCAACAACACAGAGAGCGCATAAATAAATACGCGTGAATCACTACAGCACACACACACACACACACACACACATACACACACACACACACAAACACACACGCACACACACACAAACACACACACAGACGGGGATCACTTTGCGCTCAAACCCAGCCAACGCAACAACAGAACTACTATTGCAACATCTCGTCGTTTTAACTGCCTTGTTTTCATTGAAAAATTTGATTTTGTCATTTCATTTATTAGCGGGTAGTTGACATAGTGACTAAAATAAATAGGAAAAAACTTGTCATTATCCGAATCAGGAGTGCTGAAGTTCATTCCATTGTGAATGTAGTAAGAAGCAGGATCGTTCATAACGTTGGTGGTTCCGGAAGTAAATGCTCCAAGGACGATCCTGTACTTGCTACTCTCCGGGTAGATGGTCACTTTTGAGTATTCGTCATACAGACCTTTCCTGTCATGTTGTGAAACCAATTTTGAAATTATTTAAGAATTATCTCAACAAGCGTTTTAACAAGATCAGCTAGAAACTACTAATGTTGTTGGTGTAAGTGATTTCTTGATAATAAGCAGGAATAGGTGGAAACCTACCCAGAATTCGCCACAGCTTCTAGCCTGAAAGTGTAGTTGCCGCTGCTCGTGATCTGGTAGAAATTCTCTAGTCCCATCCAATAGTTATCCTCATAGGATCCGAATCCATTTTTGTATGACAGCCAGTTGCGATTGAAATCCAACTGGTTGTTTACTCTCTGGTTTGCAAATATTTCTACTTTTACTCACGATTAAATAAACGAACGTCCCAAGTACACAAACATACATACACAGGCACATATACAAATGCATAACTTTGATGTTACAAGAGGATGTTGCACGTTGTTACGACTCACCTGTTGCACAAGTATCCAGCCGTTGTTAACTTTAACGTTGATTGGTTTTGTGTAATTGATATTCGTCAACATCAGGTTACCGTTGAAGTTCGATATCTGATCTGTGCGAATGAAAAAATATTAATATAAAACTATTGTTTTATTATTATTATTATTGTTGTTGTTGTTGTTATTTGTTTTGGTATCGTTAGAAAAGATTATAATGAAAAAAATATGGGATGTGTATAGAAGATGAAAAGTGAACTCACGGAACTTCACGCACGTCACACTTTGCTTGGACATCTATTGAACGTTTGGTGGTCGTCGTAACGTTTTCAATTAAAAATAATTTGTTTTTAATTATATTAAAATGTCTGAAAAGTGTTTAATTTATTTTTTACGATCAATTTAAGAGCACTACTCCTCTGCAAATGTTTCTCAATCTGTAATCAAATACACTCAAGTGCATTCACAAAATTCATCAAATTAGGAGATTTAGTTAATGTTTCCTCCAACTAGTTGACAACATTTTAAAATTTAAAACTCATTGGTTAAAATCTCTGGTCCTTTTCAATCATAATCAAACAACGCCAACTTCATAGGTGCTACACGTTCAATGCGTACCATTTTATCCAGTCCTTAGGTTCTTCTTAGTTTTTGATCTTCAACATATTTGTCACATTTGATGTCATTATAACCTCATTTGAAGCATTACTTTTTCCTAGATTTATTATAATTCATAAATAGCAACTTCAATGCCTTCGCTAATTCGCTAACTTCCTTCCCAACTTTTGCAGCACTAGTTGCTGTTGGGTGTGGTCGTGGAAATGACTGACTGTTCATTCTAAGCGCTCTTTTCTTTATCACAGACCCAGCACATAAAAAATGTATGGTTTTTAACTTTTTTAAAATTTACAAACTTGTTTCAAAATATTTATAGTTATGCTACCGATTTTCACCGTTATAATGATAGGAGTAGGCAACAAACAAAAATAGACAATACCTTGAAATAAGAGCAGTTATTGGAGAAGACGTAAAGATTAGGAGTGCTGGTGAACAGCTGACAGTAGGAGGCTCCTCTCCTCCTTCCAGAAACTTCTGCCTCCAGCAAGTTGAAGCCCACACAATTGGCCAGCACGCTGCAGTTGTGCGCGCACTTGGAATAGAAATAAAACTTCCAATCCATGGAGCATTTTTCACTGCAAGAAAATCCTTTCAACCCTGGCTGGAATTTCGTGAAGGAGGAAGTGGCGTTGGTTTCCAGGTTGTTGAAGGAGAGGGAATAGTAGGGAGGAGATGTGGAGCAGAGGTTGGGGCTCGGGTCGCTACAGGAGTGTTGGGCTACAAAGCAGGTGTTCATGGATTTGTAGAATGCAGTATCAAACTTTGAGCTGTTTGTGACGTTGCTCTCTGATGCGGTGGCATTTTCGCTTGCAGGAATCAGCATCAAAGAAGTTGGAACAAGCCCTGCCGAATTTACGACACTGATGAACAAAGCTACCAGCGTTAATTTCCAGAAAGTCATTTTGTTCTTCAAAATTTTATTATTTAGAAAATAAAATTAGTGACTTTTTCGTTAGAACCAATTTCGATACAAAAACGAAAAGTATCATTCTACTATTTGGATATTCTACCTTTATATAGCTAGTTTATAATTTTCATTGTTTTAGGAGAATGCCAAATATGTAAACAAACAATGCGAAGGAATAAATAAGTGAAAACGTCTAATGCATATAATTGATTGGTGTATTAATGTAAGTATTGTTGGCTTTGTAACATTCAACAACAACAATCATTATATGTTTAATTATAGGCACACGCACATACCACACACACACACACACAAAAACACACACACACAAACACAATGAACCATTAAATGAACCATTCAAATCTGATAGTTTGGTTAATCGCTCATCAGGTCTTTACTTAGTTGCAGTAATAAAGTGAACAGAAGTTATCCAAAAATCGCCATCAACCAAGAAATTCAAAATCATCCATTCCCCACTAAAATGAAAATACACAGAAACTAAAGAAACTAAAAAAACAAATTTAAATTTTCAACGCCAGACGCCTAACGATATGAAGGTAGCTATTCTGTAGATTTAAATATTGACATTGATTCTAAGGCACTAAGTGAAGAATGTATTTGTAATTATCATTAATTGTTATTTTGGCCCGCCGTGTAGGTACTTAGAATTCCAAGACATTGCTTAGTTTCATTATTATTATTTACTTAGACGTAATACCTTCAATCTACGCGTTCTTTATTGTGTAATTTCTTTTCAATTGTTTCCAGGCACGTTTGCATTAAAAGTTCCCTTGCATGGAACGAATGCCTGGCGGAAAACAATGCAGAACATGTAGCGTTGTTGTATTTAGTAGTGAAGTAATTAGTATAGTATAGCGGTCCCATCCCATTGAATGATGATTGAGACGTGCCTTCATAGAATAGTGATGACGTAACGATAAATTTTTATAAAATGCATGAAGGAATGGAAGTTCAAAATTTTATTAATTTTCGCCAAATAATTAACTGAAAACGTCAAATAGATTTTGGTTAATTGGTTAAAAAAATTTATTGTCAACGGCAATTTTGAAATTGTTAATTTGAGACATGAATCTGAATAAGTTGAGACATAAGACATGAAAATGAAAATATGTTGAATGCCATAAATGTTGATATCATTTATTATAATATAAACAGTTGATTAATTTGAAGATTTTAAAAATTTAAATTACACGAATTGAAAAGGCATCAAAGATGGCGTCATTTTCATTTTCACGGGGCAACATTCATTGCCATCAACGTGAATAAAATATTTTAGAAATCAAAATAATTTAAATAGATAAAAATTTCATGATGATAATTTAGAAAAAGTATGACAGTGCCGCTACAGAATAATTGTAGGGCAACTCTGCCGTGACCAGGATTCGAACCTGGGTTGTCTCGGCCACAACGAGAAGTACTAACCACTATACGATCACGGCCAACTCGCCACACGTCAAGCCAACGTTCATCATCTTTGGAATTAGATGATGGAATGAATTAAATTAAATCGAGTAATAACAGTAACAAATGTGATAAAACATTTTTCTTGTGTTTTTTCTTGTTTTAATCAAAAATTGGTCAGACATAAGTCTGCATTAAAAATTTAAAAAAAGATTTTTCTTTGTTACTTCGATTATTCTACTTTGTTAGAATTTCAGGATAAAAATCATTTGCATAACAGCATGAGGTTTTAATAATGTTTTGTATGTCGCTTGGATGCGATCGCATGTATGTTCTGTAGAAATGCAAAAAAAAATTAAATTTTTGTAAAAATGCAATAAATAAATGAATGAATTAAAGAATAAATTAATTTATCAATTTATTTATTTATTTATTTATTATTAAATGCACTACGCTCTTTGACATTTAAGTCACAAACAACAACGATATAATGAAACGAGATGATGATGAAGATGATGATGAAGATGATGATGAAGCCACTGCTGCTGATGATAATGACATTTATAATAATGATATTTATAATAATTATACTGATGAAGATGATAATGAAGATGATGATGAAGCCACTGCTGCTGATGATAATGATAAAGTTAATGATGTTGAAGATCAATCAATCAATCAATCAATCAATCAATCAATCAATCAATCAATCAATCAATCAATCAATCAATCAATCAATCAATCAATCAATCAATCAATCAATCAATCAATCAATCAATCAATCAATCAATCAATCAATCAATCAATCAATCAATCAATCAATCAATCAATCAATCAATCAATCAATCAATCAATCAATCAATCAATCAATCAATCAATCAATCAATTTCCGCGATGTTCAAACAGCGTTCCTCAATGAATTTTGAAAACAGATGGGTCTTGAGATCCGCTCTGAACTTCGCAAGTGATGGAGAAGTAGCCAGAGAAGTAAGTAGAGAGCTCCAGAGAAAAGGACCAGAAAAAGCAAAAGCAGATTTGGCAAAAGAGTGTTTAACACGAGTTAAGAAAAAGAGAGAAGAAGAAGACGATTGTAAACCGGTTCAATTAATATATCTGATAAATACTTAGGAAATAATTTAGATTGAGACTTATACATGAACGTGCAAATTTTAAAAATTATTCTATATTTTATATAAGATGATGATGAAGAAGATGACGATGAAGATGACGATGATGATGACAAAAAGACAGTAAAAAACAAATAAAATTAATTATCCGTGCAACCGGTTGTAAGTATCTGAGATAAAAAAAAACAAACAAATCACATGCACTAAAGTTGAGAATATTAAAAAAGCATGGCAGTGCCGTAACAGAGTAACTACACAGCAACTCTGCCGTGACCAGGATTCGAACCTGGGTTGTCTCGGCCACAACGAGAAGTACTAACCACTATACGATCACGGCCATCACGCCATACACTACACAGCCATCTATCATCTTTGGAATTAGTTGTGATTAAAAACAATGGAAAAGACGATGGAATAATCGGGTTACATAAACTTAGGCAATGACAATCTAATAACATTCCAGATACAAATATTTTTTTGTAAGTTTTAAGATTTGTTCCACCTAGGAATAAAACATTCACGACAAATGGAAGACCTTGAGTGAGTTCATTTCATTAGTATCCTGATTTTACAGAGTCAAGTATTTACTTCCATCTAGCCTTTTTCAAATTCCACTTGTTTAAGTAACTTGAATGAAGAAGCCTCTTTTCCAGCAGTTAAAATTTTTTTAAATTTTCCAAGAAAAACAAAATACAAATCATTTTATTTTATTCCTCCTCATCATCTTCCAATACAAATAACAAAAAAAAAAAAAAAGGAAACAAAATTTTCGTTGAAGATCAAGTATTCTAATTGCTTAATTTGAGCCGGAATTTTGCCACCATTTTGAAATAATAACAATAACAATAAAAAAAATCAATCATAATAATAATGAAATAAAAATAACCAGAAGAATCGGATGAAAAAAAGCAATAGGCTATCTATCTACTATATATTCTATGTGTTCTATATATTGCACACACATACACACACACTCTCTCTCTCTCTTACACACACACAAACACACACACTCTCTCTCTCTCTCACACACACACACACACACTCTCACAGACATTTATTTTTTAGCTGCTACTGCTGCTGCTACTACTACTACTACAACCTTGCGTGCTGGCAATTGCAAAACCATTAAACTGAATTGTTGAAATGAATTAAAAACATTAATTTATATATTTCGCGGAGAATTAAAGAAATATAAATATACATAAATAAACACGCAACAAAATGTTAGCATAACTCAATATATGGCTGAAAAGTTTGTATAACAATAAAAAATAAAAACAACAAAGACGATAAAAAAAATTAATATAATAGAATAAGTGTGATTTTATCTATTTACAAATTTTTGAATAAAAAACTGTATTAATGATAATTTCGGTTACATACAATGACACCGCGAATAATAATAATAATAATAATAATAATAATAATAATAATAATAATAATAACAATAATAATGGGTAAACAACAGGTAATGTTAATGATGTCACGGATGGATGGATGGATGGATTGTAAATATGAAAAAAGAAATACCTAACTAACACCGTCGTTGAAGTCAATGGTCAATGTTAACAACAACAACAAAAACAACGACAACAATAATAATATCAATGATTATTATTTTTATTATCTATAACAACAATAAATAAAAGATAAACATCTCAGAAGATGAAACAAAAGAACAAAGTACATTCTGTCTTTTTGGAGAGAAAAAAGTATGTCCTATGTATGTTTCATAAGCTGAAAAGTTGTCTTAAATATAAACCTACAAACAACAACAACAACATTAACAACAACAACATCAACAACAACAATAATCATAACAAAAACAGAGAGAAAAATAAGAAAAAAAGCTTCAAAGCAATTAGAACAAGAGCTCGCTCCAGCCATGTAGATCGTCAAATTATTATTAAAAATAACAACGATAATAATAATATTTATAATAATTATAGACATCGTATATTAAATAATAACAAAAATGACATAAAATTAAAATCAGTAATATATATATATATATATATATATATATAGCTGTGTGATCACATTAATGAAAACAAGGAGGACATCCCAATATTGGTTGAGTATTTTGTTTTGTTACATAGTTGTTTCCGTTGTCATTGTTATTTTTTGTGACGTTTTTAATGTTACTTACGATGTTAATGTCATTGCAACTGTTTGTAGCACCATTATTACCGAATTGCTGTTCGTGATGTTAACGCTAGTTGATGACGTTATGGATGGCGTGTTTGCTGTAATATTAGCTGATGTCTTTGATGGCGACGACAACAAAATTGATTTGTGAACTTTACAATGAATGAGTGAATGATGACGTCATTAGTGTACGCATCACTCTAGTCATGTCTTCACGCCATCCACGACGGTTTTGTTGACGTTGGCGGCCGCTGCGTGTGGCTGTGGCTGTGGTGGCGCTGGTGGTGGCTTCGCGCGGTTGTTCCTTCTGATACCGTCCGCTCGTCTGTACGGTTCGTTCTTCAGGTCTGAAGCAGAGGGGTAATTAGTGGTCAACTAACTTAGTAGCTGATTGATTAATTAATTATTATACTTATATGGGCTCTTTCAGCAAACACACCATCTAGCCAGCCATCAACATCATCATCATCTCAATCATTACCATCATCTCATCATCATCCTCTTCATCATCGTCATCATCATCGTCATCATCATCGTCGTCGTCATCACCATCCTCACCAAGTAGGATGTCCTCCAGAGCCCCGTGGTAGACCTCCTCCCTACTGATGACCCTCTTCTCTTTCACCTGCTTGAACTTCCTCTTCATCTCGCTGGCCACGCTGGCGCCACCGGCCGCACCACCCAGCTGCCGCAAAATCAATCAATCAATCAATCAATCAATCAATCAATCAATCAATCAATCAATCAATCAATCAATCAATCAATCAATCAATCAATCAATCAATCAATCAATCAATCATCATCATCATTATCACCATCATTGTTATCACCATCACCATCGCAGTCGTCATCAAAATGTTACCTGGTTCTTTCCCTTCAACTTTTCCTTACTGGAAACAGACTGCAATGTTTCCTGCTTCTTCCAATTTTCAAGATCAACTAATGATTGCTGGTGATTTGATTGGTTGATTGATTTGTTGGTTGGTTGATTGAATAATCTGATTGACTGATTGATTGACTGATTGATTGATTGATTGACTGATTGATTGAATAGATTGAATTATGGATTGGTTTGACTGATCGGATAGTTGATTGATTAATAAGAATGATTGAGTATATCACACATTAAAGGCAAACCCAAAATTGTACTACATTTTCTTAATACAACATTTAAGAAAATGTGTGTGCCTCTTTTTGATTCGCTACTTCGCAAATCTCATGTTGCAATTTTTCAGCCCATAGACGTGAATGTGCATCATAGACGAACTGTCATCATTATCACCATCATCTGTGCCACCGTGGTCATCACCATCATCATCAACATCCTCCCCAATCTAATTATAGACCATTATTCACTTCAGATCATTATCAATCTTCATTATCACCATTTCATCACATCATCAACGTCACCATCTTTCATGTCATCATCATATCACCATTTTCCAAACCACCACCATCATCATCACCATCATCTCCCAAACTATCATCATCATCACCATCATCTTCCAAACCACCATCATCATCATCATTACCATCATCTTCCAAACCATCATTATCATCATCATTCAATCTCGTCATCAGAAGGATATAAACACCCCCACATGAACAACGCCCACCAACATGTCACTCACCCGATACGCCTTAGTGAATCTGACGAAGAGAGAGAAGAAGGCTGTCGGCACCATTGTCCTGCTGGTCTCGCCAAAGTAACTTACAACCGCTTGGTACGATTCCTACAAAAACGAATGGATGGATGGATGGATGGATGGATGAAAGGGTAAATGGATGGATGGAAATTAGTTAATTAATTAATCATAAACTCATCCATGACATTCATTTATTTCATTTTATTTCTCCATCCAATCACATGCCTAATTATCCAAAAGTCCATTCATCTGTCCAATCACAACAACTCATACATACATTCACCCATCCATCCGTCCATCCATCCGTCCATCCATCCACCTGCCAACCTGAGCTGTGGTGCAGTCGTCGTGTAGTTTCTTGAGTAGGTCAGCAGACCTGGAAGTGAACTCGGTGAGGGTAGCGACCACTGGAGAGCTTCTGTCTTTCCATCCGTCCATCTCCTTGTTCACCATCTGCATTCCTTTATCCAATTCGTTCACGTCTGCCAGTATGTTGTCCAGGGAGACTGTAGTGAGTGAAAGAAGAAATGAATGAATGAATGAATAAAGAAATAAAAAAATGAATAAAAAAGTGAAATGTATAAATTAATTCATTTGTTGTATGTTAATTTATAAATAGATTTAAAATATTATGTTAAACAAGAATTTAAAAATCAATCTTACTAAACCAATCACACACACACTCACACACACACACACACTCACACACACACTCACACATACACACACACACAATCTTACACACACAAGCTTCATAGATTTGAACATGAAAACTTCAATAAATGACTAGCACAAGTCAAACATTATAAACTAAACACTCAAAAGCACCGCAATAAATTATAAACATAATTACTATCAATTCCTCATTCGGCTAACTCATCCACACATTCATTCAACCGTCCATCCATTCATCTAACTATCCAGATATCAAACTAATACACGTCAACAAGACAAACCCGCAGACGCTTTTTCCACGCACTGAAACTCAAGGTCAAAGTTCAGAAGGTCAGGAAACTTGCTGGTGATGGTAGTGGCGAGGAAGTGAGTGAGTGACTGACGATGCTCGTCTGATGTTGACCTCGTATCTACGATCTGGTGATGTCATGATGATGCGGTGTATTGGTGCTGAGATGATGATAATGCGGTAATGATGTGATGTGGTCATTGTCTCTGATTGAATTTATGTACCGCTACTGTTTTGCATGGTTAGTGATTTACGTGAGCAAATGAATGATAAATGAATGAATGAATGAATGAATGAATGAATGAATGAATGAATGAATGAATGAATAGATGAATGAATAGATGAATGAATGGACGAATGATGAATTAATAAAAACAACTGATAATTAAGTAATTAGATAAGTGATATAATAATATATTAATGATATATATATATACATATATATCATATGCAATCATTTGATCTCCACAATTATTATAAACATTTAAACAATCACCCAACTCCTATAAGCATTATTATTATAAATCATTTCATCGCCTTCTGGAAAATCATTAATGTCAAAATGACGTCACCATCATAATCATCATCACCGTCATCATCACCGTCATCATCATCATCATAACTCACGGCGTCAAAACTCTGAAGTTTGAAGCCATAGGCTGGTCCTCTCTTAGTACCGTTCATGTAATTTCCGAGAGCTAATAATATCTGGATGGATGGATGGATGGATGAATAGATGAATGGATGGATGGATGGATGGATGGATGGGTAGATGGATGGATGAATGAATGGATGAGTAGATGGATGGATGAGTGGATGGGTGGATGGATGGATGAATGGATGGATAAATGAACCATCAAACAAACGATTGAATGAATGAACAAATGAATGAATTAATTAATGAATTAATGAATGAATCAACCATCAATCCATCAATCAATCGACCTGCCCTCCGTCAGCCAACGAACCTCGAGAACTGTTTTAAACTTCTTTGAATTTTTGATGGCCATGGAAGCAGCTATGATGGCGTTTAGTTGCTGCGTTGATGATGATCATGATGATGATGGTGCCGATGATGATGATGATGATTATGAATTTGACGCTAATGTTAATGATGACAATGATGACGACGACGATGACGATGACGAAATAAAATTGATAACAAATATGACAATTTTGGATACGACATAAAGAGGGAGAACAAAACTGAAAAAGGAAATAAATGAGTTGAATACTAACAGGTATCAACAACGACACACACACGCGCGCACACACACACTCACACACACAAACAAATACACAGCGCAAGCAAATACGTGAATGCCAAATACGTATATGATAGGCAAGGTTCTGTTTGCCTTTGAACAAGGGACAAAGAGTAGACAACGCAAAACCAGGTGCCTTTAACCGTTACTCTATTGTTGTTCGACCAAACGAAAAGATATAAAACAAATTATCCAACAAGTATTCTAATTATAATTAACTACCTAAAGATTCTAATTAAGAGCCTAATTAATTAAACAAACTGGTTGTAGGTGTTGATACGAGTCGAAAAAGTTTCCAATGTAACTCATGATCTTCAATCTTTGCTGTAGTCGTTCGACTCTCGTTAACTGGCGAGGAAATGATGTAAACGTTGATAATGGAGACAATTAATTGTTGAAATGGTGGAGATGGTTATGGTGAAAATAATGGTGGTAATTATGACGAAAATGATAAAGATGATGATGGTGAAGATTTTGATGATGATGATGATGGGGGTCTTCCCCAACTAACCGCGATAAGAAACTTATCCTCATCAGCCAACACCTCAACTGACTTCCTCTCGCCTTCGTACTCCCTGAAGGCCTTGACCTCTTGCTCCGTCGGCAGGATTCGCAGTAAGGCTTCCACACGTTCCAGTGACAGCATCTTCAGGTTGAGACTGTGTGTGTGTGTGTGTGTGTGGTGTGTGTGTGTGGGTCTGTGTGTGTGTGTGAGCGTGTGGTGTGTGTGTGTGTGTAAGTCTCACGATCAGTTATCATCCCATCTAATCGTTACATCACACATCGCACAACAAACTTCTGGATAGCAGAGACAACCATCTCATTTGACATCTCGATCTTTCTCTTAGTTATGGCTGGCGTGTGTAAGAAAATTAAAAAAAAAGATCTTTGGAATCCATCATCACAATCAGTTCTCTATCACCTCCATCATCACATCATCAGAATCACATCATCACCAGACTATCACATCACCACCAGACTATCCCATCACCGCCAGACTATCCCATCATCACCAACCGACATTCCTCAATCGGTTGGGCTCCAGCAAACTGGGAGCCTCGGGTCTCCTACTGAACCTTCGTTCGGATTTTGGAGTGCCGTCCACCTCATCTGTGGCATCCAGGGCGAACTGATTCAGTCTGAACACGTCCTCAAATTTGTGGAAGTCTATCGTCTGTTGACGCCATGTTGAGTGAGATGATGAAGACGGAGTGAGATGATGAAGACGGGGTGAGGTGATGAAGAAGCAACAACAACAACACCAGCAACAACAACAACAACACCAGCAACAACAACAACACCAGCAACAACAACAACAACACCAACAACAACAACAACAGAGTTGATAGTTAACGCAACAGAACCTGGTACAACTTCTCGTCATCCAAATCGGCGAACACGGTGCCCTTGACTTGGTTCGGTTTCATGGCCACCCAATTCAAGATGGGCAGACGGTGGCGGGGGTGGAGGACTTTCTTGATGGGCACTGTGGCTGTAGAAGCAATTTTCAGTGATGTGTAAGTTGATGATGTTGTCGCTGGTCTATAATTTATGAAAATTTATACATACATTTTCGTAACTAAATGAGGAAACGCGCCAATAGCAAGTAAGTGTAACAAAATCTGTGAACAGCCACTTAGGCAAGTAATGTTCAGTGCCTAACGGTGTCGATTGACGAACGTTCACTCGTTACAAAAACATTCCAACAACAAAAACGCTTGAAAATATTAAAATCCGCGAAGTGTTAACTCAGCTCTGTAAAGTTCAACATCTTACAACGACAACAAAAACTCTAAAGGCCCCGACAAAAACAACCAACCATTCACTTTTCCAAATCCCATGATGGGAGGTGGAGGAGGGGGTAGCATCATCCCCCCTCCAGGGACTCCTAGTGGCATCATCGGTGGTGCCGGCGGTGGAGGAGGTATGTTGAGTGACGTGGGTGGGCAGGGAGGAGTAAGAGGAGAAAGAGGAGATGAAGAGGATGTTGGGAGGGTCGGTGGAAGACTGGATGCAAAACTGTTGCGTTTTATTTGTTCCTTCAGTGTGGCTAATTCAGACTCCTTGTCCACCTATATTAATGAAAATGTGTGTACGTGTGTGTGTGTGTGTACGAGTGTGGTGTGTATACGAGTGTGATGTGTGTGAACATTAAAATGATATGGAAAATGATGCATCCAGCAAATTAACATAGAACCAAACAAAGGAGCATAATGAATGAAAAATATAAAGATCCCAATATGATGCCACCTTGTAACTCTCCAGTGCCGATCTCGTTTCATTCAGCTGCTTCTCCAGATCAACTTTAAATTAATAACAAGTAAAAAATAGCCATATTTAAACAATGAATTAAATTTTTAAAAAATATAACAAGATTGGATTGAAGAATGTGAAACTGTCAAGTTTTAAGACGAAAGTACACAAGCTCTGATCAAATAGCAAATAGTTAGTTAGGAATAAGAAGATTCGGACCTATTTTAGAGAGCCAGTCATTTTCTTTTTTGATCATGTCCTCTTTCAACTGGTAGATGATATGGCAAATGAGTTAGTTCATCAGGTAACTTTATCGCAGTCATTCTATTCCATCCAATCATTCATACCACGAGCAATTATATTTTTCCAACAAGCAAAATTACATCAGAAACATCTATAAATACTCGCAGTGTAACAAGCGACCCAGCAACTAACATTAACAAAATCAGAGACAACAACAACTACCAAACGACAACAACACCGAAACAACAGCAAAGAAACACTCCATCAAAACAACAGCAACAACAACATACGCCAACAACGGAGCAACAACGAATGCTAACAAATGACAATTCACTATCCAACTCAGCAGCGTGGTCGAGCGCCATGTTCTTCGTGTCTGAGTCTTCCAGTAGCAAGCGGACCTCGATCTTGTTGTCCATGTAAGCATTCACTTGGGTCAGCAGGCGGTCACTCTCTGAGTTCGATAACGTCTGTGTCGTAGTTGAAATTAACATTATTAACTTTAAATAAAAATATAATTAATTAATTAATCAATATTAACCAACTGGATAAATCAACCAGTTAACCAGTTAATCAACAAGTTAACCAGTCAATTAACCAACCAATCAATCAACCAACTGATCAATCAACCAACTGACCAATCAACCAACCACTACATCTCAACTAACATTAAGATACTGGTCCAGTCCAAGAAGAGTAAACTCGTGCTGCAGATGTACCCGATAGTTCATTTCTTCCACCGAATGCACTGCTATGTTTATGAACTGCATGCAGGCCACCTATGTAGAAAACACGATAGTGTAATGGTTAAGATGCCTGGCACAAGTGTCGCAGTAACTGGATTCGATTACAAGAAGATCTTCACGTATCGCATACAGTAGATTAATGGGAAAGGTTTTTAAAATTCATTAGCAAAGTATCGTAAGTTTTTAATATACATAGGTGCCACTGTAGAATGTGTACGTGAATGAATGCCATAAGCTATAATTACAAAAACTGACTTCAGTGATTTCAAGGAATTCACATTAGGAAAGCAAATTTCTCATAATTTTACAAATAATAAACAAATAAATGATATAAACACAAATATAAAAATGAAAATATAAATAATAATATAATAATAATAAATATTATTATTGTTATTATTATTACAATAATGTTATTACCATGAAGTCGATGTGAAACTCTTCAAAGTGTAGAAAATTTCTCATCAGTGTTTCAAACCTCCTCCTCTCGCCACAGACCTAGAATTAGTGGATTGATTGAATGATCAGTGAATGAATGAATGGATGAATAAAGGAATGAATGAATGAATGAATGAATGAATGAATGAATGAATGAATGAATGAATGAATGAATGAATGAATGAATGGACGAATAAATGAATGGATGAATGGACGAATAAATGAATGGATGGATGAATGAATGAATGAACGAACGAACGAACGAATGAATGAATGAATGAATGAATGAATGAATATGAATGAATGAATGAATGAATAAATGAATGAATGAATGGATGAATAAATGAATGAATGAATGAATACCATAATCATTGGATGAATAAATCAACGGACGAATGAACAAACTAATGAACGAATAAAAAAGAAAGCAGAACAAAATATCGTTAATTAATGCAATCCTTATTTCAACAATCTTCACGATTACTCTACCTACGACTTGATATGTAATGAGTATCTAATAATGATCATATCAAGTAACGAGATCTAATGATGAACAGTATCATAACAAGTGTTGAGTATCCAATAATGAACAGTATCATATCAAGTAATGAGTATCTAATGATGAACAGTATCATATCAAGTAGTGAGCAGTATCATAACAAGTGATGAGTATCTAGTAAAAAAAAACAGTATCTTATAAAAAAGTATCAACCAAAACGTTATTTAGAAAAAAGTGTCAAGGAATAAAAAAACGCTACTGAGCAATACGTATCTAATTTAGCAGTAGTATCTAACAAAAATCAGCTAAATACTACTTAGTAACAGGTTTTTAGTGGACTACAGTATTTAGCAATACAGAAAATGAATCTCCAAAATATTAACCCTACCTCTTTGAAGTTATCAAAAGCCTTGAATATGATCTCGTGACCGCCACTGACCAAGCACACTGCGGCTAGTAACTCGAGAACCAGGGTTTTGGTTCTGGCGTTTAAATAATTAGTCAATTAATCAATCTTTTAATTAATTAATTAATGTACAAATTAATAAGAAAACCATAAAATATGAAAAAATGGAAACCGCGAAATGTACCTTAAATTTTTATGATTCAAACTCAGCGTTATGCAGTTGATGGCTTGCGTATGTTGAAAGACCAAGTTGAAACCGTGCTGAGTGTGATGACGATGGTGATCAAAATGTATGGCGGTGGTGTTCAGGTTATAAAACTACGACGATGATTTCAATTTTAGTTATAAAAATATTGTACGTGCACAGTGAAAGTGAACTGACCACTCGTATTTAAACAGAAAAAAAAAATTGAGTAGCAACTAAAACTGAGATGGAGGACTAACCACAAAACTCATTCAACACCACTAATAGTTTAAATTAACAACAAAGCATTTAAAAAAAGAAAGAAAAAACATGCTAATCTTAAAATATCAACAATACTTTCCCCAACATAACCAACAAAAACCACAAAAAAACAAAAATCTTTTTGGTAAAAATTTGGACAGTTTGCAAACGAACCTGGTGATTCATGATGGCCCTGAGACACTGGACCCCCACGTGGATGTCGTCAATGGCGTCGGCCAGACCCAACTTCGAGTGACTCTGCTTCATTTTTTTGCTTAGGGTCGATGCAGATTTGCCTAGAAATGAACTCCGACTTGGGTTTACCTTTGAGGATTAGTGAGGTGTGTGTGCGTGTGCGTGTGTGTGTGTGTCTGTGGATTTGATTCTAATCATAGTTTCGTCACCATCATCATTAACAATTAACATTGCCATCGTTTTTATCATCATCTTCATCTTTAATGCTATTATAACTTTTAGCGCTACTAACAATCGTTCACATCACGATAAAACATTTGAGAAGCAAATCAACAAACATCATAAATAATATCAACAACATCAACAACAAAAAAAATCATTTGAATGATGACGTCAACAACGTAGAACAAACAGTGGATGACGTCGTTGATGTGTTAATGAGGCTACCGTCATGCTCACTGCTGGCGCTGCTGTTCATAACTTCCAGCCTAGACACAAATTAGCATAATTAGGCATAATTTATTCATCCCCATACCACTAACATGATCATCATTATCATCATCATCATCATCGTAACTTCAGACATCATCATCATCATAATTCCTGACATCATCATCATCACCATAGACAGTAATTTCAAAGCAACACACCCTATATTGATTATAAGCTTATTAAATCAATTATGCAGAATAACAATCTTTCAAACTTCTAAGCAACATTATCATTATCATTATTATTATTATTTATTTATTTATTTATTATTATTTATTTATTTATATATTTAATTATTTATTTATTTAATATTAGTAACCTGAGAACAGAGAGGGCCAAAGATAGATAGGCCACTAATATGTCCAATCCATTTAGCTGGTCACTCAAGAAGTCTCGCACCCAGCTGGTTAATAATAATAATAATAATAATAATAATAATATTAGTTGTTATTATTATTATTATTATTATTAAATATCATTAATTGTTTATGATGAACACTAATTGATTGGTTGATTGATTGTTTGGTTGGTTGATCATCATCTCATTTCATATTTCTATCTCAAAGTTTGCTCACAATACAATCTTTATGTGGTATGGTGATGGCAAACACACAACACACACACAAACAAACACACACACAAACCCACATACACAGTTGTACACACACACACATAAAAAACAAGATGACATCAACAACATCAGCAAAAACAACAACTGGATGTTACTGAATGTTATTAGTCCTTAGTGATATCTCCAGATCTCGCAATACTTGCGTTGATGTCATATCGGATGATGTCTTCTTGAGCTGGTTCGTACAAAGATGAATGAATGAATGAATGAATGAATGAATGAATGAATGAATGAATGAATGAATGAATGAATGAATGATGAAAAAACGAATACATGAATGAATGAATCATATAAAACCATTTCCAGATCAAATAATAATAATGACGCTTCTACCAACTGAGCTAACTCGTTGTTGTTTCGCTATTGTAGTTTACTAACTTTGCGCCCATTATCGTTGATGTTGTACCGTTACTGTTGTTACGACTACTAACAACAACTACTACGACTACTAACAACAACTACTACGACTACTAACAACAACTACTACTACTACACTACTACTACTACTACTACTACTACTACTACACTACTACTACTACACTACTACTACTTCAGCTACTACTACTACTACTACTACTTCTACTTCTACTACCACCACCACTACCACTACTACTACTTCAGCTACTACTACTACTACTACTTCAGCTACTACTACTACTACTTCTACTACCACCACCACCACTACTACTACTACTTCAGCTACTACTACTACTACTACTACTACTACTACTACTACTACTACTACTACTACTACTACTACTACTATCATCACTATTAACATGAACCAAGGAAAGCAAACGACTCTAGCCATTCCAAAGACATTCCCAAATAATAATAATAAAAATAACAATAATAATAATAAAAATAATAATAAAATTAAAAATTATATTAAAGTGAAAATTGAAGGGAGAAAAGATCCATGCCACTATATTAATCTAATAACATCGTAAGTAAATCACACCAGGGCATTAATTTAATTCGTTCGTTGAAAATAAATTTATTTATTTACAAATAAATAAATATATATATATATAATTATTATATCATAAAAACAAAAACAACCAAAATAAGTAATTCAAAAAAATTAATTAATTAAATCAAATTAAACATCATTTTTCAAAAAAAATCAATTTTCTACCAAATTGAATTAATTTAAAACTAAAAACTGCCTTAGCCTCTAGGTCATGGAATAATTAATAAATGGTGATGATGACAACGATTGTGGATTGTTAAAAAAATGCGAAGATGTAGCTGATGTGGGAAATAATAAACCTTATTTGCGTTTGTGGTGATGATGAAATGATAAATTGATGATGAAATGATGATGAAGAAGATGCAGTGATGACGACGACGATGATGCCGTCCTGAAATGAGTGCGGATGATTAAAAATTGAACAAGATTGCCGAGAAATATATAACATTAAGAAAGCTTCAAGTCCGTGCAAACAAACATAACAGATGTAAATGTGCAGTCCAGTGTGTGTGCGTGAATGTGTGCATGTGCGTGCGTGCGTGCGTGTGGAAAGTGTATAGTAGAGTGTACTTTTAAAATACACATATGGATTGAGCTACCTATCCTATGATTAACTAACCTATGAACAGTTGTTAATGAGTGAACAACAAACACACACACACCACACACACACACACACACACACACACACACGTGTTGGATGTTTAACTCATTATGAGAGTGTTTGTTATTTGCTTGAAATGTACTTAACTGCTGCAGTGTGCGTGTGTGCGTGTGTAACGCTGATTGTACAGTACGCCTACGCAAAAATGAGTGTATACATATACATACGGACGACGGATGTACTCACTTATGTGTGTAATTGCTGGTGTACTATATAAGTATGTGTGTGTACGTTGTGTGTATGTAGTACCGTACTATGTATGTACACACTGTACATCTGTATCTGAATATGTACATGAGTGGCTGTATAGTGAACAGGGGTAAGTGTGCCTATAAGCATTTATCATGAGTGTGTAACAGTAATTTAGTTTAAATATTTTCAAGTGAATTCCTTTCCTCAAAATAAGTTGCGATGTGTGTGTGTGGTGTGTGTGTGTATGTGTGTGTGTGTGTGTATGTATGTGTGTGCGTGTGTGCGTGCTTCATTCGTCATCTTTCCTAGTGTTTACGCTGCTGCTGCTGAATTGATGTATACGATGATGATGACGACGATGATGACGTCGACGATGATGATGATGACAATGATGATGGTGATAGTTAACAGGAAAGAAGAACTCACTCGAAAGCTACTAGCAATGCGTCTGGTGAAGGAAGGAGTTCCCTTGACACTCTGCACCCACCCACCACACCAACACACACCACACACCACCAGGTTCAATGTTCAAAGTTCAAAGGTTAAGAGGGGTTAATCGTAATAGCAATCATAAGGTAAAGCAATTATGAAAAAAACAACAACAAAACATAAAAAAAAATCAAATCAAATAAAAACAAATTTTTATAAAAAAAAATAAAAAAACTTAATTAAAAAATAAATTATTGTTAAATTATGGTAAAAAAATATTTATGGTATAAATGTTAGCTCTGACATTAATATATATATATATATTTTTTTTTAATTTTTTTTACAATATTCTATAAATTCTACCGAATGTTTGGCGTTAATATATTATTAGTTCGTAAAACTACAAACATATTAACGCCAAACATTCGGTAGAATTTATAGAATATTGTAAAAATTATGGTCTATTACCAACATATATATATATATATATTCATGCTATTTTAATTTTAGCATGAATTAAGCACCTAGAAGAAACAAATAAAAGGACCTACAAAGATTAAAATATATTCTAACATTCACCATTAAGTCATTAAGTCACTAATTGTAAAAAGCCATGCCATCAAATTCATAACATGCAATCATTAGTGTATGTGCGTGTGTGTGTGGTGTGTGTGTATGTGGGTGTGTACGGGTGTCTGTGTGTACATGCGTTAATTAGTATTTATATCATAAAAATTCTAGTTACTAGATTACTGTATTAATCAGTAATTAATCAGTATTTATAACAAACTTTGGGAAGTTTAGGACCAGCCATGTCTAGATGATGTTTCAGCTGTTTGAGGTAAAACTCTGGTGGCTGTTTGGCTGTCACTTTTTCCTGAGCAGACATTTTTTTATATTTATATTTTGCTTATTATTCATTCATCCATTCATTTATTCATTCATCGATTCATTCATTCAATCATTCATTCATCCATCCATCCATCCATTCATTCATTCATTCATTCATTCATTCATTCATTCATTTATTTATAGGCATGAACAATTTTTATAATGTAATGTTAATAAATAAGTATAAGTGCATAAATATAAAAATGTTATTTTTTTTAAAAAACTTTATTTAATTTCATAAGTTACATCTCTACTTCTAGCACTAACATAGCTAAAGATCACAAATAATAACAATAATAATAACATTTAATAGTAATAATATTGATAATAGTAATAATTATAGTAATAATTATAGTTATAATAATAATTTGTATGCACCTGATCCAATATAAGCTCCCATTTTTTATTGTCATCGTAGCTCTTGAGCAACTTGACCTTATCCGGAGGCAGATCCATACAGTTCTGTGTAGTATGTTATATCAATTTTTTACTATAAACTAAAATGAAATTTCAGGCTATTTTAAGTTATATATACTGAATAAAAGTTAGGCAGAGTTTTTTTTATTTTTATATCATATATTATAATTATAGATACTGAATAAAAGTTAAATAAATTTTAAAATTTCCACACCTTACATGAGAAAAAATGAATGTCACAGCAACATTTAAGAACAGCATAGTATAGAAAATGTGTATACGTATTTAGGCATACTAACCAAAACTTTGGTGAAACGTTTTTCAAGTTCTTTGGAGTCAGGAGGTGAAGGTCTGGGTGACAAAGACCCAAAATGTATCGGGGGCTTGTTGCTCGTCATAATTGATTTTCAGTTTATTTCAAATTACATCCAACAATATCCTTTTTCACAAATTTTTTTTTATTACGTCATTGGCACTAACATCACATCCGAATTCTATTTATTTTTATTCAACTGAATATGATTAAATTAATAAAGATTTGATTTTAAAATGTTTTGCAAGGAAAAGCTATTCTAAATAACTTTGTTAATCAAATTTTAATGAGTTTGAAAATTAACTTTAATTCAATGATTGGGGAATCAAACAACATGGGTTAGTAACAAGTAGAAGTACTAATATTCAGTACAGTACAGTATGGTGTAGTACTCATTTAAAATTTCATTTAAATTTAAATGTTAAATTAAAATTACTTATTAAATTACTTATTAAATTACATTTAAATTTAAATATTAAATTAAAATTACTTATTAAATTACATTTAAATTTAAATATTAAATTAAAATTACTTATTAAATTACATTTAAATTTAAATGTTAAATTAAAATTACTTATTAAATTACTCAACTCATCTGATCGGAAACTTCTTTAGCTTTCAAAGTTTTAGGCATTTAAGAAATCTTAGCATTGTGTCTTATCCTCGTCTTAGTTCTTTAGTTAAATTAACAAATAAATTTACAACATTTAAAAATTAGTTAACTAAGTTAATTAACTAAGTTAATTAAATTAAATTAGATTAATTTAATAATTAGTTAATTATATATTAAAAAAAAAAAGAAGGGTTGGTTAGTAACATTTAAATTAATTAAATACAATCCTCTTTAGCTTTTATAATTTATAATTAGATTATAATTACAAATTATTCAATCAAATGGTATTTGTTTTTATTCTATGTTGATCTTTGACTAAACTAAACTATTAAAGTTCAGAGTTTGTTTAACATTTTAATTTTTTCTATCTTTTTATTTCATTTCATTTATTAATTTTAAATTAATGAAATATTTTAATCTTTATTTATTTATATCTTTACATCCACAAATGATTTCAGATGAATTTTATAAAATTTTATAATTTACTTCTTTAACTGAATTGAATTGAAAACTTAAATTTAATGTCATTATCAAGAAAACATTTATTCATTATCTAATAACTTAAACACTAATCTCAACTTTTATTCAAAAACCGCAAAGTAAATAATCAAATTAAACTATTTAATTCACATTTTGATTAAAATCATTTTCAATTTAAATGATAAAAATGAAAATACCAAAAAATGTAAATAGTCTATTTACATAACTTTCAACGAAAGTGAGATTTAGGTTATAATTTCCAATAAATCATTTCTTCACAAATGATTTGTTACTTAACTTACTATATAAAATGCATTTTAATTTGTTCTTATTTATATATCCTTTTGAAAATACCAATTTTTTTTCTTTCAGGACATTCGCGACCATTGACCTCCACAAAACCCGATCTTTAATACTTTGTAAGATTTGAAATGTGGTGATATTCAACAAGTGACACAAGGACTTTACGAATGTTACTCGTTATTGAACGCGAACTCTTTTCTCTGCAATCTTTCCAGTAGGTAGTTGTTAGATTTTCCATTCTTTCCTTCCGCATGATGTGACTAAAAAACTTTAACTGCCCCAATTGGATTATCTGTAGTAATTTCATCTTTTCATAACCGAACTGTTTTAATACATCCTTATTCGAAGTATGAGAAGTCCAACTAATTTTCATAATTCTTCTCAAAAACTACATCTCAGCAGCGTTAATATTTTTTCCATTATTAATATTTACGCCTCCTATGGATATTCCAGGTAGATATTCTTTTTTTTCTCATGATGATCTCACTGTAGAGATTGTACGGGTCTGCAGAGAATACAAAGCCATGCTTAACACCTTTCCCTATTTCAACAAACTAGTCATCTTGTTATCAACTTTTATCGCTTCGAACACCATAGTTGGACTCTCGAGGGTACGCATTGTGCTTGCTTGCGTGTACACGTACGTGCACGTACATGTATGTGTTTCAACTTTCATTACGTAGGTGTTTCAACTTTGGTGGTACAGGCACAAGCGTTTGATTGCACTAAGCAAGCAGCTCTGTGTTGGTCAGAACTGCATAATAAAGGACAGAAATTTTTTGGTTGATAAAAGGTTTGTTTAACGAGGAGAGAACCAACATGGTACCACACAAATTTTGCAGCATGAGATTAAGAGCAGAAATTTATTTTTAAAAACTTCAAATCTGAACGGTTTAGTTTTTATAAAAAATAGACATTTGAAAACAAATATTTAAACAAATGAACGAGTAAATGCATTGTTGACATGATTTTCAGATATTAATCTGTTTAGATATTGGTGAATGGAGGTGGATGGAGTTAACTGGTTTAAGGAAGAAAGAAATGAATAACTGGGCACCTTGGTAACCTGATGAAAAAAAACCATAAAAATCTTCATTTCGTTTCATATTGTCCACGACAAACGTTACATTTTCAAAATGTTAGCAACTGAGAACGGAATATTGAATAAACAATTCGGCAAAGGAAAATTTCTTTTTGCTTCAATGTATCACATTTTTCATTTACTGTCGAATGATTTGTTGTTTAATCTGGAACTAAAATAGAGGTCTCCAAAAATTTTGAAGAAGTCTTAGTAACATGAAATATTTACAGTGAAGCCGATAATATTTCTGGAGCGAGGAAATATTTCGGAAAGCAAAAGTAAACAAGAAGTGGATTGATGATGGTTTGGAGGTCGATCTCTCAGAGTGACAAATGAACATGTTTCTTTAGGATATTATGGTTTAATAAAAATATAAAATTGTAAAAATTAAATTCTGTTGAAAATTACATTGGCACAAAAACAATTTGGCAATCGGGAGGAAACGATAAGCAACCAATTGTATAAACTTCACACGCACAGAAACATTGGTTGATTTTGACAGTAACTAAGATGGTTATGAATTTGTTGATGTCATTTGTGACGAACTTGATGTAAACTGTCTTTTTTCCATTTCAAGTTTTTCCATTTGTTCATTATGTATTAATATATCCATTTCCAACTGCTCTTCTTTGATGTCCCTCATTTTTTGCTCCTGTTGGGCCTCCAAACGTTTCAACTGCTGCTGAATTTTCTGCATTTCTTCGATCTGCTGCTGTTTCTGGCGGAGTTCTTTGAGTTGTTGTTCGCGTTGGTACTGCAGGTACTGCTGCTCGCAACATTCTCTCATCTGCTTGCCTCTGTCTCTCAGTGCCAGTGTAAATCCTCTCTTCAGTTCAATCAAGATGAACCTAAAGACAACTCTCCACGCCTCGACAGCCTTTACATCGAAGACGATCGGTCCCAGGTCCTCGCTGAACACATCCATCATGGCTTCCTCAAAGTGGTTGAAGTAGTTGGGCTTGAAGCCGATGAAGTTGGCGTGCCTTCTTCCAAGTTCAACCAGCTGTGGAGCCACTATTTCTTTGTAGCGATCCAAGTTGTGCATCACCTTTCAATTAAAAAGTAACAGTTTAATAAAATTAAACGATAATGTATAATTTAATAAAAACAATTAACATGAATTAATACATTAGAAACTACTTGAAATGCAGTGGAATCCCAACCTGTCCAAGAGTGTTCATGAATCTGTGAGCATGAGCCACGAAGGAGGGGTCACTCTCCAGTTCATCTCCATCCAAGTTACGGAACGGGAAAAGATTTTTTATGAAGGGATTCTTGTGAAAGAGAAGTTTGAACATGCGCGTGCCTTTCTTTTCGATTTCGATGGAGAGCAGTGCCCATGTTTCGTTCAATTTTCTCTTCTGCGGGTCTGTCAGTGGAGCCTGGACGTGATTGGTTGGTTGTTTGGCTGGTTTATCGTTTGTGATTGGCTGTTTTTTATTTGATGTTGGATGAATGGGTGTTTGTGGTTGAACGTTTGCGTTCGACTTTTTTTTAGAAATATTCGTATGATTGTCTTAATGTAAATTCGTGTGATTGGTTAATTATAGTTAGATGTTGATCAATGATTGGGTGGTTGATTGGTTAATTGATTGATTAATAGTTTCGTAGTTTGATGCTTCTGCTTCGATGTTTTTTAGCTGGTTATTTTAAGATGTTTATAAGTGGACCAACGTTTTTAAACGCATTTCGTTGACGAGCAATGATTTTAATTGATCTACACTTAGAAACCCTTCTAAAAACTGCCACCCAAAAATGCGCTCAGCGACATTTATATTCTTGTTTGTCCACATTTTTTTTATATAGGATAAAAATAAACATTCATTAACGTATAATAAAATTTTGTTCTTGACATTCAGACGCAGTCTGACATAAAAGACCCGCGAGTAAATAAATATATGTGAGTAAATCGATGCACACACACACACACATACGCACACACACACTACACACACACACACACACAAAGACAAAGACAAACAATCAAACGTGCAGACAAGTTTAATTGCGAAATAATTGACCAAGAAGAAGAAGAAGACTTGTAAACTAACATCGAGGTATACAGAATCATCAAAGCCATTCCTCTTTCTAATCATCGAACAAATACATCCCATTTTTTTGAGTTGATATCCTTGGTGTAGTTTAAGTTACTGCTGTGGCTTATGTCGCTGGCGTCGCTGATGTTGTTGTTGCGGCTTTTGTTGTTGGTTGAGGTTGAAGTTGTTTCGGTGGCTTCTGTTGTTGGTGTCGCTTTTGTTATTTGTTCTTTCCTTTTGTGTTGTTGGTGTCACTTTTTTTTGTTGATGTTGTTATGAATGTTGTTGTCTTTACCTTTTTTGTTGTTGGTGATGTTGTTGTTGTTGTTGTTAGCGTTATGCCAAAAAAAATCTGTTTGCCATTGAGTGCATGAAATGGTTGCGATGGTTATAAGCCTAGTAACTCTTGTTTTAATTATTTTTATAGTTATTCTTCTTCTTATTATTATTATTATTGCTCTATTATTATTTATGTTGTTGCTGTTGATGTTGTTGACGTTGTTGTTGTTGATAATGATGATGATGGTGGTGGTGACGAGAAAGGAAAAATAAGATGATGATGGGAATGATGATGATGTTATTTTTGTCCCTGGCACAGATTTCAAAAAGGACGAAAAACTTGTTTATGAAAAACTAATCGGCTGTCATCAAATTATCCTTTGAAGCTATCTTGATCCCCTCCTTCATTCCCTTTGTTCTTTTAATAAAGATTTTGTTTGCGATTTAATGTGTATGTATGTATGTATGTATGTATGTATGTATGTATGTATGTATGTATGTATGTATGTATGTATGTATGTATGTATGTATGTATGTATATATGTATGTATGTATGTATTATCTATGTATGTATGTATGTATGTATGTATATATGTATGTATGTATGTATGTATGTATGTATGTATGTATGTATGTATGTATGTATGTATGTATGTATGTATGTATGTATGTATGTATGTATGTATGTATGTATGTATGTATGTATGTATGTACGTATATATGTATATATGTATGTATGTATGTATTTATGTATGTATGTATGTATGTATGTATGTATGTATGAATGTATGTATGTATGTACGTATATATGTATATATGTATGTATGTATGTATGTATTTATGTATGTATGTATGTATGTATGCACACACGCGCGCACAATTCATACACATACACACACATACACTACACACATGCATTCATACAATAAACCAAACATACAAACATTGTTCTTTTAGTATGTTTGCGAATAATAATGAACGCCATAAAGTCAAAAAATGGAATGTATGTATGTATGTATGTATGTATGTATGTATGTATGTATGTATGTATGTATGTATGTATGTATGTATGTATGTATGTATGTATGTATGTATGTATGTATGTATGTATGTATGTGTGTGTATGTGTGGTGTGTGTGTGTGCGTGCGTGGATGTGTCTGTGTGTATGTTAGATTATGATAAATCAATATTTTTAATACTTTTGTTCTTTTAAAAACTTTTAGGAAAAGCATCAATATTTGGATTAAATATCTCGTTGACCAATTTTTAAATATAATTAAGTCAAAAAAAACTGGTTTATATATTTTATTTTTATTCCATAAATTTTCTAATTTAAGTATCTTCTACGTATGTCGTTATGTTGATACAGATGTTGGATACATGAGATGTTACTTTTATAGAAAATCATACTTTTATAGAAAATTATGCGAGTTAAATTTATGTAAATTAAATTAAATAAAAAATTAAATTAAATTGAAAAAAAAAATTTTGCAAATGCATAAAGTTAGGTCTGGTAATATAATTTTATGCCTCATTAAACAATCTTTACTTTAGGTGACTAATTATCCGAATAATTGATTAACGTTTCTAATTAGTATTATTAGCAGCTTCAAAAGCATTTTTTAATTGTTATAAATAGAATTTTAGAAAATTTCTACGTCCTGGCAAACACAGCAAATCGTAAAAAAAACTAATTAATGGGTAATGAATATTTTAAAAGAAAAAAGCACAAGAAACGCAACAAGAACAAATGTCACATCTGAGCGGAACTTGCGCGATCTGCATTGTATGAAAAAATCGCAACCGAAAGAAATGAGTGTACTTTATGACAATGTAACTGTAGTAAAAATGTGCGTGTGTGTGTATGTGCGTTCGTGTGTGTGTGCGTGCGTGCGTGTGTGTGTGCGTGAGAGTGTGCGTGGTTATTTTTAGAAATATGTGTCCGTGTGGTTATGTGTTTTTAATGATGTGAAACTTTATCCTGGCAATTTAAAAGGGAGAGGTGTCTATGCGCAAACATACTTGTTGTATATCCTACTGAATAATAGGGCATGCTTAAGAAATATCTAATTGGCCATCAACGTCATCAGCATCTTCTTCCTCCTCCTCATCATCATTATCATCGTCATCATCATTGTTGTTATTATTATCATCCATTTAATTATAGACAACTTTATCTTTATCATCCATATCATCATTAGTGTTATCAACATATACCTACTCACTATCACAAACCCCAGCATCATCAAAGACATCATCTTATCAACAGAACCATTGTTCTTATCATTATTACAAATAGCATTCATCATCATCATTATTTTCAACCAGGTCAGCATCATCATCATCAACAACTTCATCATCACCATTAACTTCATCATCATAATAAACTTCATCATCACCATCAACTTCCTTATCATCGTCATCATCCTTACTCCTAATCAACATTAAGAGCATGTAGTAGTTGGAACGCGTCATTCCAAGAATTGTAATAAGTCCTGCTCATGCTTCAACAGCTGGTGGATGTTTGATGTCTGACATGAAACTTCAATGCATACATATGTATCAACACAAATTAATTTGCGTTGTTACACACATCGGTAAACAAGCACAAAAACACATTCCCACCCGCATACACACACACACACACACACATGCAAACATTCCCACACACACACACACACACACACACACACACCCACACACACACACACACACACATATACACTCTCACACACACATTCCATATAATCACACTTTTATATATATTTTTTATGTGAATATTCAAACTATTATAAACATAACTTCATCTCTATAAAATGCTTCGTATGTTGTGTTGTCTGCAAAACAACAATGAAAAAAAGTAAAAACAGAAAGATCGTCTGCTTTCTTTAAAGCGCCTTGCAAAGCCCCACTAGTGAATCCCGAAACGTTGAATGAATTTGAAGTTAGAATAAAATGCCCATTATTCTGTATTATCTATATCTTATTTTGTATCTTTTGGGACCGGAAACGGCTGAGTGCGAAAGATACAAAATAAGATTAGAAAATATCAAAATAGCCGTGTTTTGATTTAGAGTGGTTGGTGTATCTTGGAGATTTACTCTCATCTCGAACAAACAAACAAACAACAAACAAACAAACAACAAACAAACAAACATATATACATACATACAAACAAGCAAGCATGAAAACAAACAAACAAATAAATAACATGCATCACAAAATTAAAGTCAGTTAATCCATTAGTAGCGATGTTAATTTATTTCTAATCAAGTCGACTTCGACTGCAGCGCAGCTTCACAGACTTCAAAAACCACAAACGCAACAGTTGCCAATTAAATGATTTCTTCTGAAGATCTAAAAATAAACTTTAGCTAGCATTAATAGGAACATCACATTAGCTAACATTAACAGGAAACACTCTTATTACATTAAGTCGACCTAATCATCACAACACATAAGATAATCTCACATAACATCACATTAAGATGACGCACACACGCGCGCGCACACGCACACACACACACACAGGTGGCTAATGAAGTAATACAATAAACTTCAATCGGTTTGATTTATTAGATTGAGCTAGCAATAAATTAACACATTAATCGTAATAATTAGCGTTGTAAATACAGATGCACGCACTCACTTTCACACTAACAGACACGCAAAAAACACACACACGCACTAACACACATTCACAAACACACACACGCATTAACACACAAACACACACACACACACTAACACACACACTTCTGAACTCCAGCTAAAGTCATCTGTAAGGAAATTATTTGAGAAGAATGATCAATGTCGCCGCGATTTCATCCGCTTTTCGGATCAAACATTCAATTTTTTGAAACGCAAAAAAAATGCAATAAGCACTTGACTGGTTGTCAGATGTTGTCATTATTTATACTGGACCATCCTGGCGTTTGAAACAGGACACTGTGACATGAAACTGCTCCGTTTACATCGCCATACTCTGTTGAGATCATTTTCTTCATCACAAATATTTGTCCATATAAATATTTTCGCGATAAGTCTGCCTCTGCATATTTGGTTACTCATTCACGCCGATGCCAATGAATATTTAAATGAGTTTTTGTTCGAGTTCACTTTTAAAACGGAGAACGAGGCAGATAGAAGGAAGCTTAACACCTTAAGAAATAAAATGCGCAAACATACACACAGATACACAAACATACACATACACAAACATACACACAGATACACAAACATACACACACATACACAAACATGCACATATTCAAACGTACGCACATATTCACGCAAAAAACACGATTGTGAGATTATTGTTTTCAGTGTTAGCGTTTGTATTATTGTAGTCGTTAATGTCATTGTTGTTAATATTTTTCGGTTGTTGTTGGTTGTGGCTGTTGTTGTTGTGGTTGCGTTTTTGTTGTTGTGGTTGTTGTTGTTCAAAACATCTTACTACAATTTATTCTCAATATTTGATTTTGGCTTTCGATAAATGAAAGAGTCTTCATTGTTGATACTTTTAATATTATTGATTGGTTAACATTTGATGACAATGACGATGATGTAAAAGAGAGCTGATGATGATCATATGGTGAAGAAGAAGGTGTGGCGATAATATAAGATTATGATAATGATAACTATAATGACGACGATGATGATGACGACGACGACGATGTTGGGTTTAAAAAACCATCTTATTTATAATTTAATGATGGTGTTTACGAAAGCAATTTTTAAAATTTTTGCATTCAGAAGTTTGCCACGTTATTGATGTTACTCGTCAAGTGGGGAACAC